TGAAGAGAAGCCACACCAGACAACAGAGCTCACATAGGAGGTTTATTGGAAGAGGAGAGACAAGGGGCAGAGAAGGGGACAAAAGGGGGGGGGGGCAGAGACCAGTCCCTGGGGACAACAGTGGCAGGAGAGAAAGAGGGAGGGAGGGGGATGAGAGGGAGAAAGATAGAGACTGGAGGTGGCCAAGGTCCACCTTTTAAAAGGGAACATAGTGAACATGCAAAGGCGGTGCTCTTAGTGGTTGCAGCTGAGGACGTATCCTGTCAGGACCCCAAGGGCAGGCCAGTACAGATGCCTGAATGACATAAAAAAGATGGTTATACCCTTTTGTTTTGTTTCTTGAGACGGGGTTTCTCTGTAACTTTGGAGCCTGTCCTGGAACTCGCTCTGTTGACCAGGCTGGCCTTGAACTCACAGAGATCCACCTGTCTCTGCCTCCCTCCTGAGTGCTGGGATTTAAAGGCGTGCACCACCACTGCCTGGCTGGTTATAACATTTTAATGGAACGATAAAAGGCAAAAGTCTGGTGGGCGGCGGTGACCCATGCCTTTAATCCCAGCACTTGGGAGGCAGAGACAGATGGATCTCTGTGAGTTCGAGGCCAGTCCTGGTCTACAGAACGAGTTCCAGGACAGGCTCCAAAGTTGCAGAGAAACCCTCTCAAAAAACAAAACAAACAAAAAGCCAAAGTCTGGCAAGCACACAGCTCAGCCTCCCAGTGATGAAGAGACAGGCAGATTGGTCAGACTTGAAAAGCCCTGTTTTATATCCACACACCTTTGTTTTGTGATGACCACACAATATCCATAAGTTTTAAATTTAATTTGAGATAGTTTGTAACCTAGACTAGCTTCCGTCTTGCAGGGAGTCTCCTGTCTCTGCCTATGCTGGGATTACAGGTGGTGATCACCACACCGTTTACTCTTCCTCCCTCCCTCCCTCCCTCCCTCCCTCCCTCCCTCCGTCCCTCCTTCCCTCCCTCTCCCTCCCTCCCTCCCTCCCCCCCTCTTTCTCTCCTAACATTCATTTGATTATTTTATGGGTATGAATGTTTTGTCTGCATGTATGTCTGTGCACCTTGTGGGAGCCTAGTGCCCAAGAAGGCTAGAGGAGGGCACCGAGTCCCCTAGAACTGCATCTTACAGACACTTGTCAGCTGCCTGTGGGTGCTGGGAACTGAACCCACCATGTCCTCTGAAAGAGCAGCCCATGCTCTTAACGACTGAGCCATTCTTGTGTCTTTTTTGTAATCACTAAAAAACCCCCAAACAAAACGTATTTATGTTGTGTGGGCACATTTGGAGGTCAAGGGACAGGAGTCAATTTCACCTCCACTCTGTTGTCCTGGGGACTGAACTCAGGCCATCAGGCTTGGTGACAAGCTACTATCCCTGCATCTCACCCTCCCCATTCTTCTGACTGTGAAACGGTTTCACTAAGTGAACTTGGCTGGCTGTGAGTCTGAGACTCTCCTATGCTTCATTCCCCAATGTAGTCTCAGACAATTAGTTTGTCCAGGATGTGTTGATAGGCACGTAGGTTGTCTCCAAGTTAGTTGGTAAGCTTTGTCTGGGGTAAGGGGGGTTGAGACAGGGTCTCTCATGTATCTCTTGGCCAGTCTCAAACTGGTTTTTTTCCTGTCTCAGCCTCCTGAGTGCTAGGATCACAGGTGCACATCACTATAGCAGGCTACTGGTAAGGTTTTGTTGTTTCTCTTTATTTATTTGGTTGGCTTTGGTTTTATGAGACAGGATCTTACTATGTAACCCTGGCTATCCTGGGACTTACTCTGTAGACTAGGCTGGCCTCGAACTCTTAAAGCTCCTCTTAAGTGCTAAGATTAAAAGAATGTAAATGTAAACCAACTTGATTTACGGAGTGAGTTCCAGAACAGCTAGGGCTGTTACACAGAGAAACCCTGTCTTACAAAGGTGTGGTCATGTGCCACCATGCCCAGCCCTGTTGTTTTCTTTTCTTTTTCTTTTTTTGTTTTGTTTTGCTTTTTTATTTTTATTTTTGTTTTTTCGAGACAGGGTTTCTCTGTAGCTTTGGTTCCTGTCCTGGAACTAGCTCTTGTAGACCAGGCTGGCCTCGAACTCACAGAGATCCACTTGCCTCTGCCACCCTTTAATCTGGGATTAAAGGAGTGTGCCACCACCGCCCAGCTGTTTTGCTTTTTTAGAAAGGGTCTCACGTAGCTCAGGCTGGCCTCAAATGTCTTGTGTGACCAAGAATAACGAATAACCATGAGTTCCTCATCCTTCTGCCTTTACTTCCCAAGTGTTGAGATTACAAGGACATGCTACTATACCTAGCCTTAATGAGCTTTTTTTATCACGGTTTAGATCATACAGCACAATCTGGTCTGGTGGTGCCCGTAATCCTAACTATTTCAGAGGTGGAGTGGCAAGGGAATTGACAGTTCAAGGCCAGTCTGAACTACTTAGGGGTGTAGGTCAGAGATGGAGCACTTGCTTAACATGCAGAAGGCTGTTTGTTCAATCCCCAGGAATAGTTCCAAACCTAAACAACAAAACTATCTCACATAGAACCGGCCCTTTTAGGAGCAGGTGAGATGGCTCAGCGATAAAGATGATTGCTGCCGATACTGACAGCCTGAGCCAGTCTTTGGACCTACTCGGCAGAGAGGACTGACTCCCGCATGTCCTCTGACTTTAGCATGATTGCTGCAGCATCTACATACACACACATCTGCAAATAAATAAATGTAGAAAGAAGTGAGCATTTTAATTCTCGTTAGGCTGGTTCAATGACATTAAGCACATTCTTGCGAAACTTCTGTCTTGTCCTTATTAAACATCAACTTCCCTGTTTGTCCTCTCCACGCCTCCAGGAACCTCTGTTGCCTTTCTGTCTCTGTGTTTAGATCAGCAAGTTTTTAGAAATGGATATTTAAGCATGCCAGTTCTCCTGAGCCTTCAATGGCTCCTACTGGCATTGGGCTAGAACAGAAGGAATAGCAGAAAATCTTGGACCAGTCACCTGGGAAGTAGGTGTTAGACTCCTGGCTCTGGATGTGGGGGTATCTCAGGCTTCGGGTTAGGGGGTGCACTGTGGCTGTGCAGTCTACGGTGGAGGAGGGAGAATCTTGGCAGCAGGTACCTTGGCTCAGGGAGGTGTATTTCTGGGTCAAAGTGAAGCTGTGTGGTCTGGTACAGGGCGGGAAGAGCAGGAGCTGGGGGGTGACCCAGGGTCACACAACCTTCATTCTATACAGACATTCGGGTCCTGGGGAGACCAAGCTATAGCTGGCACTGTGTTTGAAGCTGGCTGCCAAATCCTGGAGTTCTGGTCTGCTGTCCTCACAGGGATGGAAGCTGCTGGGGCAACTCTGGATTGCCTCAGGAGAAGGAGAATTTGGAGCCCAGTGTCACAAGGTGCTCAGATGTCTGCTGCCCTCAACTTGCTTCAGGCTCCATCCTATGTCTGCCTGGAGGTCCAATGCAGCTGCAGCAGCTATATGCATGTTCAGGCCACTGCTAGGCGCAGTCGCTACACCGCTCGGCAAGAGGATCCTACCACACTCCGAGGCTTCCTTCAGAGCTCACACTTACAAAGCTGGGCTGCTGCCTGAGTCTTCCAGGATGAAAGGCAAAGACACAAAGGGGCAAAGTGGCCACCGACTTTCTTCCTTCGCTTCTGAGAAAAGGTAGCTCCAGTGCAGCCTGGCAATTCTGCATCGTATTTACATGTATTTTGATTTTTAAAATGACATTTGAGCCAGACAGTGGTGGCGCATGCCTTTAATCTCAGCGCTAGGGAGGCAGAGGCAGGTGGATCTCTGTGAGTTCGAGGCCAGCCTGGTCTACAAGAGCTAGTTCCAGCATAGGCTCCAAAGCTACACAGAGAAACCCTGTCTCAAAAACTACAAGATTACATTTGAGCACAAGGGAGGCAGAAGCAGGGGGATCTCTGTGAGTTCGAGACCAGCCTGGTCTACATACAGAGTTCCAGGTCAGTCAGGGCTACACAGTGAGGTCCTGTCTCGACAACAACAAAATACAAATTTGCTTATTCGAATGTATGTGTGGGGAGCATGCCACTTTGTAGGTATGGAGGTCAGAGGATAATCTGTAGGGTTCAGTCCTCTCCTCTATCGTAGGGGTTCTAGGGATTGAACTCAGGTCATTAGGCTTGGTGGCAGGCACCTCTACCTACTGAGCCATTCTGAGGTGGGATCTTGCTGTGCTGAACTCCTGAGTTTAATGGCTCTTCCCGCTTCAGCTTTCTGAGTAACTAAGATCGTGGACATGTTCCATCAGTGCAGGCTCCTGACCTACATTTACTTTCTCATTTTAAAAGATTTATTTGATGTGTTTGGGCTTGCATTTATATCAGTGCATCACAAACATGTTGTACCTGCAGAGGCCAGAGGAGGGCGTCCCACCCCCAGGGACTGGAGTCACGTAAGGCCATGAACTGCCATGTGGGTGGCGGGAAGGAGATCTAGGCCCTCTGGAAGAGCGGTCAGTGCTCTGCTGAGTCAGCGAAAAATTTCATCAGAACATAGAGCCTACACATTTGCATACCATAAAAAAGAAACCGTGTGTGTGTGATAATAATTCTATAATTTCCATTTTACTAATGCAAAATAGGGGGACAGAGAAGTTAAATCACATGGTGAAGTTTACAAAGCCAGTGACATTTTGAGACGATGATGCTAAGGCTGAGTGGCAATGATAATCCTTCAGTCTACTGACTCAGTTTGAAAATTGAGGTGTGGGAGGCTGGAGAGATGGCTCAGTGGTTAAGAGCACTGGCTACTCTTCCAGAGGACCCAGGTTCTATCCCCAGCACCCACATGGCAGCTCATAACTGTCTGTAACTCCTGTTCCAGGGGAACTTACACCCTCACAGACATACATGCAGGCAAAATACCAATGCACATAAAATACAAATAAATAATTAAAAAAGATTTATTAAAGAAGAAAAGAAAAAAAAATTGAGGTGTGATTGGGTGTGGTGACAAATGCCTTTAATCCCAGCACTTGGGAGGCAGAGGCAAGCACAGATCTCCCAGTTTGAGGTCGGCCTGGTCTACATAGGGAGTCCAGGACAGCCAGGGCTACATAGTTTGTCTCACAAACAACGAAATAAAACAAAAGGCGGCTAACAGCAAAAGACAACTAGCATCAACCTGTGTGATCATCACACAGTTCACATGCATGCACCCCTTTATGTATGCGCGGTTCCACACATGCTTTGACACATACAGCCAGAAGTTGCCCTCTTAGGCCAGAGAAACGGTCTTGGGGACCTGACCTTTGTGTGAACAGGCGCGGCTTTCTTTTCCCACTCTTCCTTCAATTTTGCAGATATAGGCCATATTCACAGTATTTTCCAAACAGGCAGGCAGGCAGGCAGGGAGTGAGGGCCTGGGAGACTGGGGGCTGGGCAGAGTGCTCTTACTACCAAGGCTGCGGTATGTAGACAGCGTGTTTGTGTTGTATGAGCGTGGATATCTAGACAGTATGCTGGATGAGGTAGGTGAATGTAGGGTGAGGGGGTCACTGTATAAACCCTGGAGGCGGGAGGGGGGAGAGGGAGGGTGCGGGGCTCTGAAGTTAAAAGTGTATATTACTTTTCCAAAGGACCTGGACTCGGTTTCCAGGACCAGGGTTAGAGGACTCACAGCTGCCTGTAACTCCAGCTGGCTCAAAAGGCACTTTCACAATTGCCCAAATCCACATATATATAAATAATAATGTTAAAAAAAAAATCCTGGCCCAACTCATTGCTCTGACGTAATCCAGACTGTTCAGATCTTTGACCTTGCCAGCATTTCTCCGTGGCTGAGGCTGGTTCAAGAAGCCAGAGGCCAGGGCAGAACACTTAACACAGAGGAAGGTGGTACCGGAAGCTGGACGCAGCCGGAGGAGCCTCGGTTCTGTGGGACTCTCCTCTCAAGGAGTCACAGATGCCCTTAGCTGGGAGAGAACCCAGGGCCGTCGTTCCTGGTACCAGTGGGCACTGCCTTCGAGCCATGTCCCCAGCGCGGTTTCTCTGGGAGCTAACAAACTGCCTCCCCTCTTCCATCCATCTCCCAAGAGTGACTTGCATGGCATCTTGGTCAAAGGACAAAGACCACTCCAGTTCAGAAGCCCTTGGATTCAAGTTTTTTCGTTTTTATTATTTTTTTGTTCTTTTTAATGTCATGCAATATTTCACAGTCCCAAGCCCACGTTTTTCAAACAAGATAGGAAAAAAAGAAAAAAAAGTTTTTAAAAAGATAAAGGAAAAAAAGAAGCAAGGGTGGTGGTGGTAAATTTTTCCTTTTTTTTCCCCTTTTGTTATTTCAAGCAGGACCAAATGTCAGAAAAAAACAACAACCTGTTTTTCCTCAATTTTTTTTTTGTCCTTTTAAAAACTGTTAGTGTTATTTTTTTGTAGTTGATCTCTGCAGGCAGTAATAAGTTTGGCGTGGCCCGCAAGCACTCCCGTGGGTCTGAGAAGTGTGTGGGGCGTGCAGCCGTCCCTCCGGCTCGCAGCCACCTTGGTTTCGTTCACCGGGAAAACGAAAGATTCAATTGAGATGATAAAACTCATCAATAGAAGCTATTTTTGTTTTTCTCCCCGGTTTTCTTTTTTAAAAACGTTATTGTTTATCATTTGCTGTGCGCCCGCTGTGCGCGGGCGCTGCGGGGAGGCGGGGCGGCTTAGCACCAGTCGTCCTCGCTCTCGCTGTAGGCGTCGTGCGCGCCCCTGCGGGCTGTGCGCGGCCGCGGCGCGCCGTGCCCCGCGTAGTAGCCGTTGGGTAGCCTGCGGCCGTGGCGCGGTGACGCGCAGCCCGCGGCGCGCGGAGTCCTGGGCGACCGCGGCGCGGGCTCGTGCGCGCCCCCTGGCTGCTCGCGCGGGTCGTCGGACTCGGTGTAGTCGGCACCGCGCGGCCGCGGGCCCTCAGGCGCATGCGCAGGCCAGCGAGGCGCGCGGCGGCAACCCCTGGGCGAGCCGCCAGGGGGCGGGGCGGGACCAGCGAGCCTGCGCGCCGCCGGCCTGCGCGGAGCGGGCGAGTAGGACACGAGCGGCCGCGGGGTGCAGGGGGTCTGGGGGAGCTGGCGGCGGCCGCGTCGCGGCGTGCTGGTGCCGGACGTAGAGGGGGCTGGGCTTCCACTGACGGAACTACTGCCCTACACGAAAATCGAAACAAAGGAAATCAAAAGCAAAGATACCACGGACCAACCAGGAGCACACGGGGACACACAGACGGGAGGGCGGGCGGGCGGCGGGACGGAGAAGTGGGGGGGGGGGCAAACCAACACAACAGTGAGGAGAGAAATGAGAAACGAGCTTCGTAAGTTTCCGAAGTCACTCACAGGCGTCCGCAGGACACGAGTCGCAGGGAAGCAGGGTCAAGGGGACAGCAAGAGCGGCCGGCTACCCGCGCCCTGCCCCGCCCCCGCCCCCTCCCACCCCCTGCATCCCCGCCCCCGCCCACCCCGCCGGTTCAGTCTGGGCCTGCCACACGCACCTGTCTGTGTGTTGCGTGCTCCCGACCCTCGCTGGGCGAGCGGGACCAGCGCTGCTCCCGAGCCCGCGCCCGGCTCGCGTCCGACCGCTCCTGTGCGTAGCGCTCCCGATCGGGAGCCGGGGGGTGGTGGTGGTGGTGGTGATGGTGATGGTGCGGCCGATGCTTCCGGTCCTTGGGCCGGCCACGGTCTTGGTCCCGATCTTTGGAGGGCAGGTCACCAGATTGGGTGGTCATGCTTAGATCTGTCCCCAGACCTGAGTAGGAGACGATGGTGAGAGAGGGAGAAGGGGCCCCAGAGAAGGGAAAGCAGGCCTGGAGGGTCTCCAGGCTCAGTGCAGCAGCCCCTGGTTTCCTCCCTACTCTGGAACTCCCCCTCACTTTCTTTTTACATTTATTTTCAGCACGCGCATCCTCCCGCGGTGGCACTCATCTGTAAGTGTGACCTTCCACCTTATGGGTTCCAGGAATCAAACTCGGGTCTTAAGGCATCAAATACCTTTACAGGCTAAGCCATCTTGCTTGGCCCCTCCCTTTTCTCAGTGTTGAATATGACCAATTTAGGACTATGTACGTGTTAGCTATACCTACCACCCAGACAACATCCCACTCAGCCTGGAGTGTTGCAGTCATGGGTCAGTGGTTAAACGTGTCTGCTGCTCTTGCACAAGATCTAAGTTCAGTTTCCTGCACCCATGTCCTGCAGCTCACAACTGCCCATAGCACTAGATCCAGGGAATCCAACACTCGCATCCCTCCTACCTCCCATTAAAAAAATAAAAATAAAATGCAGCTGGAAGGTGGTGGCACAGGCCTTTAATCCCAGCACCTGGGAGTCAGAGGCAGGCTGATCTCTGTGAGTTCGAGGCCAGCCTGGTCTACAAGAGTTCTTTCCTCGACAGTTAGGGCTGTTACACAGAGAAACCCTGTTTCGAAAAAGAAAAAAATGCAGCGGGGCAGGTATGGTGGCCCACACTTTTAATCCTAGCACTTTGAAGACAGGCAGGCAGATCTTTGAGTTCGAGGCCAGCCTGGTCTACAGAGCGAGTTCTAGCACAGCCAGGGCTACACAGAGAAACCCTGTCTCGGGGGAGAAAACCACCAGCAAAAAACCCAACCAACCAACCAGTCTTTAGTTCTAGCATTCAGGAGGTAGAAGCAGAAAAAAATCTCTCTGAGTTCCAGGCCACCAACTAGGACCACATAGTGAGATCTTTTCTCAAAATAACTAACTAAATCTTACTTTTTTTGAATGTTAAAATTTGTGTGTGTGAGGGTGGGTGCAAGTATCACAGTGCATATGGAGGTTGGGAGTCTTAGATGTTAGCCCTCATCGGCTATCTTTTTTTTTTTTTTGGTTTTTCGAGACAGGGTTTCTCTGTAACTTTGGAGCCTGTCCTGGAACTAGCTCTTGTAGACCAGGCTGGTCTCGAACTCACAGAGATCTGCCTGCCTCTGCCTCCCAAGTGCTGGGATTAAAGGCGTGCGCCACCACTGTCTGGCCCTCATCGTCTATCTTGTTTGAGACAGGGTCTCTTATCATCTGCTGTGTATGTCATGCTAGCTGGCCCAAGAGCTTCTGGGGTTTCTTCTATCTTCATCTCCCATCTCACTAATAGGAGGGCTGGGGTGACAGATGCTCACTGCCCTCTCTGTCTTTATGTGCTTCTTTGCAAACGCAGGCCTAGTTTCTGCATAGCAGCTGCTGTACCTTTTGAGCCTCTCCAGCCTCTTGCCTTTTTTTTTTTTTTCCCCCAAAGACGGTCTCTCACTAGCCTGGAACTTGGAACCATCAGGGATCTACCTTATGCCTTCCCAGCACCAGGGTTACAGATGTCCACTCCCATACCTGGTTTGCATGGGTGCTGGGATCTTAATCAGCTCAGCTCGTCATTCGTGTGCAGCATGTGCTTCACCCCACAGATACCAGCCAGACCTCTTTCTTTTCTTTTGAGACAGGGTTTTTCTGTGTAGCCCTGACTGTCCTGGAACTTGCTCTGTAGATCAGGCTGGCCTCAAACTCAAAGATCTGCCCTACCCCTGCCTCCTGAGTGCTGGGATTAAAGCCCGACTCCTTCTTTGAATTGGGCTCTTATCTATATCTTGGCTGGCCTCTAACTCCAGACCCTAACCCCTTCCTTCCTAGCTTCCCACATGCTGGCATTAGTGGTGTATGCCCAGTCCTTTGTCCCTACTTCTGCCCTTCAGCCTCCTCCTCCTCCCTACCTTCTGTTCTTTTGCAGAGTCTCTGTCCTTGGTTCTGTGGTAGCTTACCTGTGTCCACATCAGTGTAGCGGCCCAGAGAGCGCTCCGAGGTACGGTGGCCACGGTCTCTGCGGCGCTGGTGGTACCGCTGATTTTCCTCAGGTGGTACCCGCTCCAGTGAGTAGTCGTCCAGTCGTCTGGCTTTGGGCCCCAGCACAGAGGCTGAGCGCTTCATGGGGCTGGTATCAGAGATGGTCTGGGGGAGGGGGACAGGTGTGGGCAGAGTTAATGGTCAGCACTTTCGTGGCCTGCTCCTTCCAGCCCTGTAGCTGATGGGTAACAGAATCAGGGTGATGTGACCATCCAGGGACAGTGTCCAGGGGTGCAGTGGAGGTTTGGGTGTCTGGCTTTTTGGCTGTAAGGGTGGAACCCTAAGGCTACTTAAAAGCACCGACAGGAGTGTTGCTGCTTCTTAGGGTGTGTGCTGGACTTTGGCCAGAAGGCCCTGGCTAAGCCTTGCCCCTCTGGTGTTAAGGCTGGCTGGCTGGCAAGAAGCATGCTCCACTTGCAGAGGGCAAGCCTGGGAGCCCTGCTTCTCCTTAGTCCAACTCTCTTGACCCTCATCCCCACCCCCAACTCTGGCTCCTATCACCCAGGCCCAGCTTGGGCTGCCCTGGCAGTGGAGGCACTGGAGAGCATTCTGAATCTGCATTCACTGTCCCACAACCCTTGGTCTTGCTCTACCATGGACAGTCTTCAGTTCTCAGTAGCAGGCAGAAGAAGGAAGGCCCCCTGGACCAGGCCTGGTCCAGCTCTGATGTGCAGGAGTTAAAGGGACCTGAGGCAGAAGGCCAGTTGGTCACTGGAGGAGTTGGAGGAACAAACCCCCAAGAAAGGGGCAGGGTGGACAGGTTGGCCTCTTGGAGGCTCTGAAGACGAAGTGGGGTGCACTGTGGCCCCTTCCATACACAGGACACAACACACAAGGAAGGGACTCCATGGGGGAGGGGGAGGGTCTGCAACGAAAGGGTGGGGGGTGAGGTGAAGGGCAGGGGAGATGGTAGGTACTGGCACAAAAAGGGCAGGGAGGGAGAGGGGGCTGGAGCCGAGCTGGCCGGGCGCGGTACATACACTGAGGTTATTTCCACGTGGCCGGCCCCTTCTCCTCTGTCCCAGCCCCACAGGATGGCGCACACAGAAAAAAAACAGAAAGAAGGAAATAAATATAAAAGGCAAAAGTGATGGTGAGGTGGTGGGTGGCACATGGTGGAGGTGGTGGGCAGAGAGAGGTTAAACTTTCCGGTGTTGAGTGAGGGGGTGCCCCAGGACCCGGATGGCTGTCCCCCACAACAGGCACAGAAGAAACAGGAGACAAACTGACAGATGGCAGAGACATGAGACTGACAGATGGGACAGCAAGGCCACAGGCTCCTGGCCCATTTCATGCGATGCACTGCGGCACAGCATCCCTCCCCCACCTCGCCCCAGCTTCAGCTCAAAGCTCCCAGGTGGCCATCAACCCAGCTTGGCTCATCTCTGTTTTGGGGCCAGCAGGCCAGGCCTGACAGAAGGGACTGGGCAGCCACATGCACCCCAAGGTCACAGCAGCCAGAGGCCAGGCCCTTGGGCCATGATGACCCAGCCAGGCGCAGCAAATATGCCCCAGCCAGACATGCCGGCCACCCTCCTGCAGCCCCTCCTCCTGCCCTTTCTCCTTGTCCTCGGGCAGGGCGCCTCAAGCCAGCCTGGGCTTTCTCCCCATCTCTCACTGTGCATTAGCCAGGCATGCTTTAGTTTCCTCTATCCCCACGGGGATCTTGCCTTCCCTACAAGGGGCCGAAATAGCGAAGTGAAGCAGCCACACTGAGACACATACCAGGTACACACCCAGCCACGCTACCCCTCCCAGACGCGTGACAGAAGATATGCCCCAGCCATCCCAGGCCCACGCAGACTCTGCCTTCAGTCCTCAGACGTGCCCTGTTCCTGAAGGCAGCAGGCCATGTGCCTGCACATGAACAGGCGCGATGCCTACAGATGCCTGTTACACTGGTAGCACGCAGGTGCATGTATGTACAGGTGTACATGTAAGGTGTGTGTGTGTGTGTGTGTGTGTGTGTGTGTGAACTGCATGGGTAGCAGGACTTTTTTTTTTCTGTGATGGGACCCTGCCTATGCTAAGCACACCATGAACGAGCTCCAGCTTTAGAAGTAGGATTCTCTTGTCTTTTTAAAAATTAGCTTATTATTTGTGTGTATGTGTGTGTTTGTGGGCCTGCATTGAGGCCTGAGTAGGCCAGGAAAGGTGTCAGTTCCCTGGAGCTCCCGTCACGGGCTGTGAGCCGCCATTTGGTGGAGGTGCTAGGGATCAGTGCTCCCTTCCACAGCGGCACTGCACGCTCTCACCCGATGAGCCACCTCTAGATAGCAGTCAGGGTTCTTCAGTTCTGTTCTGAGACAGGCTGTCACATAGTTGAGGCTGGCCTCAAACTAGCTAAATAGCAGTGTCTGGCCTTGAATTCCTGATCTCCACTTCCCAAATGCTGGGATTATGGATGTAAGCCCTGTTTTTTTTTTTTAAGATTTATTTATTTATTATGTATACAACATTCTGCCTCGATGTATGCCCGCACACCAGAGGAGGGTGCCAGATCTCAGTACAGATGGTTGTGAGCCACCATGTGGTTGCTGGGAATTGAACTCAGGACCTCTGGAAGAGCAGCCAGTGCTCTTAACCTCTGAGCCATCTCTCCAGCCCCTGTTGTTTGTTTTGAAATATGGTCCAGGTCTGTAGCCTAAGCTGGCCTGAACCTCCTCTTCTCAGCCTCCTGAGTGCTTAAGACACCACTACCTGCTGCTGAAGCTGGGATTCCAACCTCTCAGGAGAGCTGGACCCACCCCTTCCCTGTATTTGCAATAGGGCAGAGACTGCTATGTTCTACAAGGGTGCCCAGTCTCTCGATGGCTTCTGGTAGGGAGTGGTTGGAGGGCCAGACCTGCTGGGTGCACTGAAGGAGCCAGGAAAGGGTAAGGGTCCCCTGCAGGAAGCTGCGGGAGGTCCCACCTCAGCCAGTGTCTCTAAGGAAGAGGTACAGGGTCCTTTGGAATGTGTGTGGGCATGGCCCAGAACCCTGCAAGCTCTCACCTGGTTCTCTGCTGGGAGGCGGGGCATGGAGGTGGCCCTGGCCTGGCCTTCCATGGGGAGGTAGTGTTCGCTGTCTGAGTAGCCATCCGTACCCATTTCTCGCATCTCCACAGACTGTCAGGCAGAGGGTGGGTGGGGCTGGGTGAGTCTGGGGCCTGACCATGTGTGTGGGAGACCCTTTCTGCCTGAACCACCCAGCCTGGGGGAGGGGGCAGCAGCACCTGCGAGTTGGGCTGGCTGTTAGGCATGTCGCTGGGTGGCCCTCGCTCTGGGCTCCATGTGCCAGTCTTCTGGAACATCTCTTGGGCTCGCTGGGTCACCCAGGACGGGCTCTCCTTCATACTGCTTTCCTGAGCCATCCTGCACAGGGACAGAGGCCAAGAAGGACATATGTGCTCTGGGATTCACGAACCTGGGGCCTCATACCCAACTGACAACTGCCCAGTTGGCTACTCACAGGCCTCCTCCTGGGTCCAGCTGAGTGGACGGAAGGGCGTTCTGGCTGGGCCCTCCCTCCTGTGTTGGTGATGGAGGTTCCATGCGCTGGAACATGAGTGGTGTCCGGTTCTGGGAAGGCGAGAAGGTAGTGAGCGTGTGCAGGGAGGGCTGACAGAGCCAGCACTGACAGGAAGCTGGGGCTGGCCCTGTGATGCTGGGGTCAAATCCAGGGCCTTGTGTCTTCCACCAAGCCACTCCCTCACCCTTGACACCCACCCCAACACAGGCAGGTTTGCTCTACCTGTGAGGCTACCCATTTCTTCTTTCTTTTTTTTTAAGGGTGGATCTTTCCATTTGTAGACCTGGAACTCTGCCTGCCTCTGCCTCCCTAGTGCTCTAGTTAAATTTTTTATCTATTACTTAAATTTATTTATCTTGTGTATTGTGTATAAACAAATAAATTATCTATCTTTTTATGCATGCACATGCCACTGAGAATGGAACTCAGGTCCTCAAAGACGGGAACTTTACCCTCTGAACTATTTCTTGAGACCCTGTTCAACTTTTGACATTGTGACACAATGTTGTCATCTATAAAGTTCATTTTGGAGACCCATGCAGCCGAGTTATATATGTATCTTCCACCCAGACTCCTTCAGAACTAAACCATTTATCACGAACCCTTTACCATGCTCAGCCTCCTCATCCCACACCTTCAACCAGTCCAGAAACCTGTGCATGTTCTCCCATATACAGCCACCAGAGGGTGCCAGCGAGCACACAGTGGACAGTTCCTCCAGTACTTAGACCCCTCTTCTGCTCCTATGCCATTTGGAATCATTGCCAGAGCCCACCCATGTAGTGTCCAGGGTTAAGCCCCGTACTCCTAGTGCCCTCATCTCTTCCCACATTCTTCCCTGCTCTGTTTTGTCTGTCACCCTGACCTGTTCAGTATCAGGCAAGGTCCAGCTTCAGGGCCTTGTACGGGCTGTTCTCTCTGCTTGCATGCTCTGGTTTAACACTTTTCCTCAAAGAGTACCCATTCCCTCTTGTTCTTTAACACACGAGGCAAGCAGCTCAAAAAGCTTAAGGAAGTCCCCGAGACTGACCAGATTCACTCGGCCCCTCCCTGCCAGAGTAAGCAGCAAGGACAACTCAGAGCCACTGTCAGGAGCCAAGCTGCACGACAGACCCTGGGAGATGGCCGGGAGATGGTGGTGCACGCCTTTAATCCTAGCACTGGGGAGGCAGAGGCAGGCCTGTTAGTTTTTGAGGCCAGCCTGGGCTACAGATCCAGTTCCAGGATAGCCAGGGCTACACAGAGAAATCCTGTCTCAAAAGAAAAAAAATTTCCAATCAGCTGAGCTGCCTGCAGAATGTGCTCCAGGGGGTTCCCAGCTTTTGTGGGCTGTCACCCATGCTGGGGTGAGTTTTGGTGATGCAATGTCTTTGAGTAATTTCTGATTTTGTTTTGTTTCGAGACAGGGTTTCTCTGTGTAATAGTCCTGGGTGTTTTGTTTCGAGACAGGGTTTCTCTGTGTAACAGTCCTGGGTGTTTTGTTTCGAGACAGGGTTTCTCTGTGTAACAGTCCTGGGTGTTTTGTTTCGAGACAGGGTTTCTCTGTGTAACAGTCCTGGGTGTCTTGGAACTTGCTTTGTAGACCAGGCTAGCATCCAACTCACTGAAATTTGCCTGCCTCTGCCTCCCATGTGCTAGATATTAAAGGTGTGCGCCACCACCGCCTGGTCATTTCTAATTCTTTTTTGTTTGTTTGTTTTTTGAGACTGGGTTTCTCTGTAGCTTTGGAGCCTGTCCTGGAACTAGCTCTGTAGACTAGGTTGGCTTCCAACTCACACAGATCCACCCACCTCTGCCTCCCAAGTGCTGGGATTAAAGGCGTGCACCACCACCACCCGGCTTCATTTCTGATTCTTAAGTAACCCCAATAAAACTCATGTTGTCCAAGTTGAACTTTTGTCTGTTGTGGCTTCCCTATCTGTGGTGAGTGTCAGGTCTCTCCTGGAACAGTTTTGTCACACAGCAAATGTCTCACTCTGGAAATAAACCCCTTTCTTCTTTTCTTTCTTTCTATCTGTTTTCCTCTGCCTCCCTAGGGCTGGAATTAATGGCGTGCGCCACCACGCCTGGTGTCCGACACCTTTAAAAATCTTACCATTTTATGTGCATGTGTGTAGGCCTGTGCGTGTGTGTTTGTGTGCCGCACATGATCAGGTGACCACAGAGGCCAGAAGAGGGCATTCCAGGCAGTTGTGAGACACCCCGTGGATGGTAGGAACTAAATACAGGCTCTCTGCAAGAGCACTTGCCCTTAGCTCTTAACTGCTGAGCCACATCTCCAGGCCCTTTGCTTTTCACCTGAGCAGTCTCCCGGGAGGGTGTCCTCGACAGCTTATTTCACACCACACACCCCTGTTCTAGCACTGGATGTTCTTTGGTTGGTTCCATCTCTCCCCCCCCCCCCGGGGCACTACCTGCCACAATGAAAACAGTCATTTAGTATTTTCAACTACGTCAGGGCAGACGTCCATGCCAGAGTCTTAAACAGTGACCTGCACAACAGATACTGAGTACCTGTCGGTGTCTGAAAGTTTGTTGGTTAGGTGTTCGTGAAATGGCCCACCCTCAGCACACTCCTTGTCGTGATTGGTTTCCACGAAGACCACCAGACCTGGCACCCTACCCCCGGCACCCCCAGCAATGGAAGTACCTGCTCCTCTCGCATGGCCTGAAGTTTCTTGGCCTTGCTCTGCCGGTAGTACTCCATGATCATCATGGCCGCGTAGATCTTGCCCACCGTCAGGTCTGTGGCTGTGGAGGACAGGCAAGCTCTCACACAGGCCGGGCCCCTTCCTGATCCGACCCTGCCCCTCCCTGGGCTTTCGCTTACACTTGTGAGGAGTGACCAGCAGATCTAGGGTCTTCTGGGACAGGTTGGGCCAGATGGCCATCATCTCCTTTCGGAGCTCTGCATCCATCTGCTGCTTGTCGGCTCCGCCTACAATATGGGGAGAAGGAGGTTGAGCATCTGCAGGCTGGGCTCTGGGGCCAGTGCAGGGCCACTGCCAGGACCCACAGGTCTGGCCTAGAGGCACCGGAAGGGCCAGGATTTTATCCTGGCTTCCACTTACCAACTGTGTTCCTAGGGTTGGCTACCTCCCACTGCCTCAGTTTCCCCACTGGTGAAAACCATCAGGATGAGTTATAGCACTTGCCCTACCTGCTGTTTGCTGACCCAAGCAGTATATGTGTGTGCCACGTTGGGACAGCACCTCCAGGCCATTACAGCCACAGTGCTGAAGTTCAAGTTCACAAACTGGTTGGCATCAGAGTTTTGGAGGCTACTCTGGGTGCTGGGGATAGAATCCAGGATCTTGCATATACTAGGTAAGAGCTACACTACTGAACCACACCAAAAATGATTGGAATGACAGACAGCCTTGTTCTGTGCACGAGGCAGCAGATAGTTGGGACCAGGAAAGTGTATCAGCCAGGTTGGAGACATAAACATTACGTGTGTGCATGCATGTGGAGGTCAGAGGTGAGCCTTGGCTGTCATTCTGCAGGAGCCATTTGTCTCGTTTTTTTTGAAACTGGATTTCTCACCGGCCTAGGATTCACCTATTAGGTGAGGGTCCCGAGGATTCAGCTGTCTCCACCTAGCCAGTGCTCGACTAGTGTTTGTTGCTCTGCACAGGTTCCCGGTGACTGAAGGGCTCCTCACTGTACAGCAAACTTTACTGACCCGAGGTGTCTCCCAGCCCCTAGTTTTCCCTGCTGTAAGCTTTCTCTTTCCATAGCATTTATTTATGTGTGTGTGTGAGAGAGAGAGAGAGAGAGGGGGGGGGGGA